CCAAAGCAGAGCTTCTAAATGATTTCTTTGCATCTGTATTCCTGGACACAAATACAAATATGCATCCCATTGGGACCTTAAGTAAGCCCAGTATAGATACCAGCCCACGAACTGCTTGTGCTGACATAGTAAAGGAGTACCTGGAGAGGTTGAATGTATTTAAGTCAACAGGTCCTAGGGTGCTTAGGGAATTAGCTGGTGTCATAGCAGAGTTGCTGCCACAACTGTTTGAGCACTCATGGTGCTCAGGACAGGTCCCAGAGGATTGGAAAAGGACCAATGTGGTCCCTGTTTTCAAGAAGGGGAGGAAGGAGGAACTGGGTAACTATAGGCCAGTTAGTCTCAGCTCTATCCTTGGCAAGACTTTTGAGAAAATTGTTAACTGCCTGACTAACCTGGTCTTATTTTATGACCGGGTCACAAAATGAAGCAATAGAGGTAGTTGTGATTTACTGAGATTTCAAGAAGGCCTTCGACACAGTGTCACACCCAATTCTTATAAATAAACTAAACAGTTGCAATGTAGATTATTACACAGTCCGGTGGGTAGAAAATTGACTTATGGGACGCACCCAGAGAGTGGTGGTGGACGGGTCAGTTTCTACCTGGAGTAACATGGGCAGCGGAGTCCCCCAAGGCTCTGTCCTGGGACCGGTACTATTCAATATCTTCATTAGTGACTTGGACAAGGGAGTAGAAAGTACCCTGTCCAAGTTTGCTGATGACACCAAACCATGGGGAGAGGTACACAAACCAGATGGCAAGGAGCGAATCCAGGTTGATTTGGACAGGCTGGGGAAATGGGCCGAACAGAACAGGATGCAGTTTAACAAGGACAAGTGTCATGTGTTGCACTTAGGGAGAAAGAATCATCAACACTTCTACAGCCTGGGAGGGACCATTTTAAGTAGCACAACTACGGAAAGTGATCTCGAAGTTGTAGTCAACTCCAAAATGAACATAAGTCACAAATGTGATGAGGTAATAAGTAAAGCTAACCGCACCCTTTCTTGCATAAGTAGGGGCATCGCAAACAGGTCTAGGGAGGAGATACTTCCTCTCTATGCGGCATTGGTCAGGCCACAGCTGGAGTACTGCGTCCAGTTTTGGGCACCGCACTTCAGAAGGGATGTGGATGGCCTGGAGAGGGTTCAAAGAAGAGCCACTCATCTGGTTAAAGGCCTACAGAAAAACCCTATGTGGACTGTTTGGGAGACATGAACCTCTTCAGCCTCCACAAGAGGAGACTGAGAGGTGATCTCATGGCCGCCTACAAACTCATCATGGGGGGACAACAAGAAATAGGGGATACAATGTTTCCCTGGGCGCCTGTTGGGGTAACTAGAAACAATGGCCATAAACTGGAAGAGAGCAAATTTAGATTAGACTTCAGGAAAAAATTCTTTACGGTGAGGGTCGCTAACATATGAAATAGGCTTCCAAGGGAGGTGGTGCTGTCTCCTTCCTTAGAGGTGTTTAACAGGAGATTGGGCAAACACCAGACTGGGGTCATTTGACCCTAGCACTTTTTCCTGCCCAGGGCAGGGGGGTTGGACTCGATGATCTAATAGGTCCCTTCCAATCCTAACAACTATGAAACTATGAAAGGTAGTTGTCTCCCTTCTGTAACAGATGATATTAGCTCAAACTGTCTCTTCCCAGTTGTCTAAGGGGAGGGCTCCTAGGTCCGTCCATTTGCACTTCCAGTTTATTAAGAAGAAGTACCTGCCATCTGCTAAGTTGTGATGGTTTGAACTTAATCTTTTGACCTAGCTATCTGGGTCCCTAACATGCTTTGGAGAAAGTGGAAAAGAGCCTGGTCCTGGTCCATCAAGTGACCAAGAAAAATTAGAAAATTCCTTACCAGTCCCAGAGGAAGAAAAGTGAGTTGTACAATGTCTATCAACATACAAAAAAGCTCACAACAGCAACTGAGGTCAATACGGGCTGTACTTTGAACATGTAGCCTCTGGACAGATGTGAAAAAAACAGCGTTTTAGCAGAAGAGGCAGCACATTAGTTCAACCTGGCTCTGCAGCATCTATATAGATCAGGTGCTTCAGCATGTTTTTTGGCGCCTTTATCTAATAGCTGATTTAATTTAATTTGATTTAATGTAATCAGCTATTAGATAAAAGTACCAAAAAGCCCATCTGAAGTGCCCAATTTATGCAGGTGCTGGGCAAGCTGGGTCCAACTAATGTGCTGCCTCTTCTGGGCATGTGCTGCGCTTGGTGTGGGGTGGAAGGTGCACCAAGCTTAAAGTGCTGGTTTTTGTTTTTATTTTCATGTATGTAAGTGTCCGTAAAGTGTAATTCTAAGTGCTTATTCCTTTCATATTGTTCACCCCATATCATTAGACCTTATCTTCTATGTTTCTTAGCTTCCTATATGTAAAATGGATATAGAAATGGCCTCTTATTTCATGAGGTGCATTGAAAATATATGTTTGTGAAGCACCAAGATACTGTATTGACGAGCACAATAGAAAATCCCCTAAGAAAACTAGCAAATCTTTGTATCATGTTAGCCTTGAGTGCTCTGCCATAAATAAAGCCTGGGTCACATGCTAAACAGTTAGGCTAGAGCCAGATATCAACTAGCTGCTCATTCTGTAAGCATGGTCCATCTGGATACACTGAATAAGCAGTGAAAAAAGAGTTGTATGTGATTAAAGACTCTACACAATGTGCACAGACAAAGGAAACAACAAAAGGTTGTTCTGACAACTAAAATATTTCCTAATTTCTTGGTGCTTGACTTGCAGCCTTAATGATCTTTTAACAAATATTTTGGTGTATTACAGAAAATACATAAAATATACTCACATAGCTACCTGGTAGTACTACAATTAATATTATTTAAATGCAGTATTTCTCTTTTTCCACTGTTACTTAGCTGTGTAATGAAATACACATTACAATGTATATAAACAAGGGGATAAATTAAGGGTTTTAATCAAAACAGTGGTATTCCTAATTTCTGTGCTTGAAGATGTGTATTGAAGATTGTAATAGCATAAGTTTTTCACTTAAACTGCAAGTCAAGTGTGTGTTGATTTCCTCTCCCCTCCCCCCCATATTTTATGTAGAATTATTCTTTTTGAATACTTAATAGGAAAAACTGTTCTTTCTGGGACTTAAAACATGTGTAGTCAAGCTGAATAACATTCCAGTTAATATTTACTAAAATAGCATTCTTAACCTACTGCTTCTATGCATTTCAGGTGCTTTCCAGGACTGTTATCTCCTTTGATCTTAGAGAAGATATAAAAATTACACACTAGTCTTCACTGTTTAGTGCATAGCTTGCTTGTTCTTTTGCCTCTTTCTCTTGTTCTTTGTATGGCTTCCTATGTCACATTTCCCTTCAGAAGTGTAGATCAATGTCATGACAAAAATCCTTACCTTTAATATTTATACTGCACCTTTTCTTGTCATTTTTGAAGAATTTTTCTTTAATGTTTTAGCGCAGGAAGTCAGGTTTTACCTGACATTAGCAACAAATGTATTACTTATTGACAGCAGTACAATTAGGAGGGTTTTTTCCTTTTTGTTTTTAAATTTTAAGGCAAAAAGTAAAGAATTAAGTGCTGTAGGGTGTTCTTTTTCAAGTTCAGGCAGTGGGAAAAGTGTATTGGATGGTAGCTAACACATTTTTTGTTACTAAATAAACATTCAGCTAGTGAATGAAAAATTAGTTTTTCTCGGGTATAACAGACTTTACATGGCTTATTTTTTAATGCTACATTAAGGAAAAATAGATCTGAACTACTGCATGAACTGTTGAAAATTACTTTTGGAGTCTCCAAATTCTTGGAGATGCAGTAAAGAGCTATGTCGTCCATGTAGTATAGGATTTTAGATTAGATTGTTATGCAGGAATCAGATAGCTTTGCATTTCTACAAATGTTCTTTTTGTAACACTCAGTGTTAAAATCACCATCAGAAGAAGATGATAGTTTGTGATTATTTTTAATGTATGCTGAGCTTTGTTTATATATGCTGAACCAGAGGTGTTTTCAGTATCTATATTTTAATGTGTGCTTGTTAAATTTAATAATACTATTACTTAGTGCTAACAAATTTTGTACTTTGTTTTCATAGGTTCTTCAAAAACAACTAGATGATGTCAAGGAGGAAGAAATATCATTGTTAAGCAAGCACAAAGAGGTGGAAAGTGAGCTAGCAGCTGCTCGTGAACGCTTACAGCAGCAGGCCACCGATCTTGTGCTCAAAGCCAGTATGTATGTCTGTGGCTTTATATGTATTTAGTCTATAAATGAACCTCAAATATTAATTCAAGATTAATATAATCTTTCTCTTTTCATTTTGTATTTTAAATTATGCAGATTTATAGTGGCTAAAAGGTATTTTACATTATCTGTAAAAGGTTCTGAAAGATTTGTCTTTTTTTTTAAATCTTATTCAGTATGCATTTTTACTTAAGATTCTTGTCCAAATTCACCTGCAAGTGTGCATGTGCCTCAAGCACCCAGGTTCAGAGACTTTTTGCCTTAGCAGTACCTGTGCAGTGTGCACGTGTCCTGCTTCTATTTGAGTTTTGCCCCAAAGGCCTAACAAGATGTTGTGTACTTCCTATTTCTCAGTTCCTCTCAACCACTTCTGGCTCAAGATAGGGCTTCTGCTGTCAGGCTGGAACTTTTGGACTTAGGGCCACTTTGAAAACATTTTTACATGGTTAATAAGTTGTTAGTATTTCTCTAGTCCAGGATGGCCAACCTGCAGCACCAGGTTCAAAAGTTAATATGCATGTCCTTGAATCTTTGCAAAAGCACACGGGGACCAGCTTGCATTTCCATTTCTATACCATTTGGAAACTGGTCACTGAATGCTTGTACAAAGATTCAAGGAAGCGCATATTAACTTCTGAAGAGCCACATGTTGCTCTGGAGCTACAGGTTGGCTACCCCTGCTCTAGTCCCTGTTTTATTTCTCCTGATTTTTGTTTGCCTATTGACAAGGCAGGAGAACAGCCTGACATTGGTCATGTGGCTTTCATTAGGTTAACAAGGCTCCAGTGAGGACCTGCCTACATTTTAAATGCTGTGTAGGGCAGTGGTTTTCAACTTTGTTGGACTTGAGGCACCTCTTGTTGAACTCAAGGCACGCCTCAGAAAATGACAACTCCTAGCTTTCCCTTATTTTTTGAGTATAGAAAAATAATAGAGCAATTCTTCTGTTACAAAGAACTCCACATCAGGGCAGAATGTTTTTAACAGTAACATGTTTTCTGACTCATGCCTAAGTGCTTCACACCTAACTGAGCTAATATTCCATGGCAATCTATGGCATCCTTAAAAGAATCTCAGAGCACTTCAAATTGCTGCTGTAAGGTAACCCTTTCCTCTCTTAGGGCATGTATACCTGACCCAAAAAGAAAACATAAATACCAGGCTAAAGAACTCCCATTCAGCCCACTTTATTCATCCTTCCTGTGAAGCACTGGGGAAAAAAGTTCTTCTATAATAGGAATTGATCTTCATTGACAGGCTTGTCAAAGCTTCAGTTCTTGGGCAGGAAGTAAAATATTTGATAAAACTTTTGAGAGATGCCATTACCACCCAAAATACCAAATACATTTTCCACCTTTTGGGGCTTGATTGCATGGCCCATTTTTGGGCAGCAGTGGCTCTGCATATTATAGCTTTAGTGCAATCACAGCTGCCTACAACATCATGTTAATTGTGGTGCCTACTGTCAATATCCTTCTCCATGAATCTGCCATTTAGGAAAATTAAAATCATCTTCTTGTTCACTTGGTCTCTTCAGTTCTGCTTTCATCTGACACTAAAGACAAAAGATACTAAGAAGCATGGTATAAGCAGGAGGCAATGTATTTCATTTATCGAAATACTAATGAAATTATTGAGGAATCTTGGGAGTAGCCAAATGTAAAACCTGTTCTGCCAGTGATCACGTCTAGATTATTTGAGTTATGTAAACTCTTGAGCTCTTTGTAACTTCTTTACCTAGATGAAAGCTGATCTGTGAGGAAAACTAAGTCCACCTCTGAGGACTTAGTTAACAAAAAAGAAATATTTCCATTTGATTTAGCCTTGGAAAGAATTCCCAAAGGGGCACCTGTTTTCCAACTTGGTCTATAATACTGCCATAAATCTGATCTTACTTTCCTTATCTCCTTACCAGGAGCCTGAATAGCACATAGACTCTGTGGTTTTGAATTCTATTGCAGGTTTTGGGATTTGGAAACTAAGAAGTGCCTTAATTATACTTCTCCTTTAAAAACAAGAGCTGTTATAGGTAACACTCTCAAATGGGAATTCTTGAGATCAGCTTTCATATAGTTCTCCACAGCTTCAGTGGTTTCTGTTTATTGGACAACTGATTCACAGGATGTACCAGTGATATGGTGTGACAATGGAACTTTCTTGTATCAGTGTCCCTCTCTTTCTTGTATCAAAGTTTATGAAAGTATGTATATTGCTCTGCTGCCTTGATTCTTTAATGGTTAAAAGATAGATTAGGAACTTCACTAGGTTGGTCCAGCCTGGATTCACTGACACAAGATACATTAATTTAGCTTTCTCTTAGTGTAGGATTAGCCTTTTAAAGTTTGGTTTATTTTTTTATCATTTCAATTTAAAAGGCTAATCCTACACTAGGAGAAACCTACTAAAAAGTAAACTCTGAGGGGAAGGGCACTGATACAATTAAGTTCCAGTGTCACACCACATCACTGGCATATCCCATGAGTCATAGTTTCATAGTTTCTAGGGTCGGAAGAGACCTGAGAAGATCATCTAGTCCGACCCCCTGCCATGGCAGGAAAGAGTACTGGGGTCAAACGACCCCAGCAAGGTGTTCATCTAACCTCTTCTTAAAACCCCCCAGGGTAGGAGCCAGCACCACCTCCCTTGGAAATTGGTTCCAGACTCTAGCTGCCCTGACCGTGAAATAGCGCCTTCTGATGTCTAACCTAAACCTACCCTCTGCTAGCTTGTGACTGTTGTTCCTGGTCACTCCTGGCTGTGCTCGGGGGAACAGTGACTCCCCCAATGCCTTCTGATTCCCCCCTGACCAATTTGTAACAGGCCACAAGATCCCCCCTCAGTCTTCTCTTGTGGAGGCTGAACAGGTTCAGGTCCCGTAGTCTCTCCTCATAGGGCCTGCCCTGCAGTCCCCTGATCATGCGAGTGGCCCTCCTCTGGACCCTCTCCATGCTGTCCACATCCCTCTTGAAGTGCGGCGCCCAGAACTGGACGCAGTACTCCAGCTGCGGCCTGACCAGTGCCGCATAAAGGGGAAGGATCACCTCTCTGGACC